TGAAAATACTCAGTATTGCAATTTCACGGACTTGCCCTTTGGACCGACGATCGCAATGGCATTGGTACGACGTCAACGCTGGACGCTGTGTGCTATGTACTCTCTCTAGGGCCCTCAGCTGTACAATGCTGCGTTCGATGGTGACATCAGCGACGTCCAGCGCCTGCTTAAGGAAGGCGCCGACGTCCACTGGGCCAACGAGGTACACGTTGGCCACGCTTCATGGCACCAGACATGTTCTATTGCATAGGATGGATATACACCGCTGTTTGTTGCTGCGCAGAACGGTCATGACGCTGTCGTCAAGACGCTCCTCGGCGCCAACGCCGCAGTGAATCTAGCTTTGGACGTACGTTCTCTTCTTTTGCCGGTTTGCGCGCTTCAATTTTGGCTCAAATGTCGATGGTGATGTAGACTGGAGAGACGCCGCTGTTCATTGCTGCTGAAAACGGGCACGACGTTGTCGTCAAGACGCTCCTCGGAGCCAACGCAGCGGTGAATCTAGCTATGAACGTACGTTCTCTCTTCTTGCCCGTTGCTCTCTTACATTTTGGCTCAAACGGCAATGATGCAGGATGGATCGACGCCGCTGTTTATTGCTGCGCAGAGCGCACACGACGTTGTCGTCAAGACGCTCCTCGGCGCCAACGCAGCAGTGGATCTAGCTAAAAACGTACGTTCTCTTATTTTGCTTCTTGTGCTCTTGAGCTCAAATGTCGTTAATTATGTAGACGGGAGCGACGCCGCTGTTTGTTGCTGCACAGGACGGTCATTACGATGTCGTCAAGACGCTCCTCACCGCCAACGCCGCTGTGAATCTAGCTATGAACGTGCGTTCTCTTATTTTGCTCGTTGTGCTCTTCAATTTTGGCTCAAATGTCGATTCTGATGCAGAACGGAGCGACGCCGCTCTACGTCGCTGCTCAGTACGGTCACGATGCTGTGGTCAAGACGCTCCTCGGCGCCAACGCTGCTGTGGATCAAGCTATGAACGTACTTTGCACCAAATGAGGTTTCA